CCGCTGCCCCAGGGCTCTCCTCGCGGCCCGCACGAGGTGCCTGGGGAGCCGGGAGCAGTTGCTCAAGGACTCGCCCTCCTCCACCTTCCCTGGGGCAAAGCTCGTGAGCACAAATCCATGGGGAACCCCGGCACCAACGAGCCGACCGCGCTGCATCCGTGTCCTCTGAGCAGCCAGGCGGGAGAGCAGCTCGCGAGCAGGTCAGGGCTGGCCCCAGGGGCCACGAGGCTGCTGCTTGCGTCCCCAGCGCAGCTGGAGCTTAACCCTGGGTAACTCAATGGTGGGGCAGACATCCAGGTGTCAGGCAAATTGAATCTGAAAACCCAAATAACTGAGGATACGGCCCTGGGTCATGGGAAGCCGTGAACAGCTGGTTCTCCACAACCAGCGGTCTCTAAAACCAAACTTTTCCCTGTGTTTAGTCCTTTCCTGTAAAACCTGCACCTATAGTCTGCACAGGATCTGTTCTGACTTCCATCCATAAGCCCTTAACTTGCCTCGTGTTCAGCAGCTCTGCAGTTCATCCTTGAAACACGTTCCCGGCGCTGTGTGCAGCCACCCGGCTGCTTTTGGTTACGCTGCCAATCCTAGGTCTCTTCATCACTGTGTCTTATTTTCCATCATATATGGTCTCTGCTACTTGTATCATATTGTACATTGGGGTTTCAGAGTTGTAGTATTCTGACTACAGTATTTCCAATGGTGTACATAAACCTGAATAAGCACAACTGCAATCCATGAATGAAGTGTATACGTTTCATATACTGACTGTCATACAAATGAATTTTATAATTATTCCAATTTTGTTGTAGATTTCCAATCTTTCCTATTTATTTTGTACCAGATTTATTTGTATATTTTGTGATTTTGTTTAAAAGCATTTTGTTTATTTCTATTCTTTTTAGATAAATGATGATTTTTTTTTTTTCTGTTGACCATTCCAGTTTATGCATTTTTCCCTCCTCCATGCTTCCCCCTCATTTCAAGGGACGGAGTTTGGCATGTGGGTGGCGGGGCTGATGCTGGAGATCCTGGACCCAGATCTTTGCAGATCCTAAATTGCTGTTGGCACCTCAGTAGTTTTTGTCGCTGCTTTAGTTGTCAGGAGCCGCAGAGGGGCCAGGTCCTGTTCCCCTTGGGGCCCGGCCTTGCTCGTTGCTTTGGTGGGTCTGGGCCTGTGGCTCCTGGAGCCAGGGAGGGCCTTGCCAGTGGTTTCGCTTGCCGGAGAGCTGGAAGTTGGTGGTGATGGAGCAGCTGATGTTCTTGTTCTGAAGCATTCCCTCAGCAGCAGTGGTCTTTTTCTTCCACTAATAAAAATCCCTTATTTACAAGCTCCTCTCTATATATCCTGTTTGTTCGGCGGCAGGCGTGAGCACCGTGTGTCTGGCTGCAGCATGTGGGCCTGCCGGGCGCTCCAGCCTCTCTGGGGTGGCCAGCGAGGGACGTGCCTGGTGGCCGGGGCCGCTCCATGTGACACGAGTGGGTTTGACTGTTCCTGGGCAGCCCCGGCTCATGGGATACATAAGCGGGGGGACAGAAGTGAAGATAATGTGAATGGCAGCTTCAGGGCTGGCTCCGTACTGGGAAGAGCCTCTGGAAAGAGCAAGGTGGGAGAGCGGCCAGCGAGGGACGTGCCTGGTGGCCGGGGCCGCTCCATGTGACACGAGTGGGTTTGACTGTTCCTGGGCAGCCCCGGCTCATGGGATACATAAGCGGGGGGACAGAAGTGAAGATAATGTGAATGGCAGCTTCAGGGCTGGCTCCGTACTGGGAAGAGCCTCTGGAAAGAGCAAGGTGGGAGAGCTTGGGGCTACCAGCAAGATGAGTGCGAGACGCTGGGTCTG